TGTCTGTCTGTCTGTCTGCCTCTCTGTCTCTCTGCCTCTCTGTCTCTATGTCTCTCTGTCTCTATGTCTCTATGTCTCCATGTCTGTGTGTCTGTATGAATTATGTATGTATGTATGTATGCAGGCATGTGTGTATGCGTGTAGGTGTGTTCGTCTGTGAATGTACATGCCTATGTATGAATGTATGCGTGTACATGTACATATAGTTACGTATGTACGTACTTGCAAGTACGTATATTAACGTATATGTACGTTTATGTTTGCATATGGCGTATGTACATACCTGGGTACATAGGTACATGTGTAGGTAGGCATAGGTGTGGGTAGGTCGGTAGGTCGGTAGGTAGGTAGGTGTAGGCGTAGGTAGGTAGCTAGATGTAGGTATGTAGGTATAGGTAGGTAGGTAGATAGGTAGGCAGGCAGGGAGGTAGGTAGCTAGATAGGTAGGTAGGTAAGTGATATATGCACATAGCAACGCTCGACTTACATATACACACCGCGTAGACACGTGCAGATATGCGCAAGCTGAAGTGCTACAGATGCCATGTTGCAAGTGCATAAACAATAATGCTGAGTGTTTTGCCGTCTTGATGCTGGATTTCAGTAGCCAAAATTGGAACAAACTTCTGACTTACAGTCTCTAGCCGTCTATACTCTGCATTGCAGTGGGAGTTTCGTAGAGAAACTCGCCTACGTTGTTTGCTGCCTGAAAGCCATATTTCGTTATCTACTACTTCTTCTATTGCAACAGGTGCTGCTTAGTACTACTTCTACTTCTGCTTCTGTTGCTACTGCTTCTACTGCCGTGCTGCTGCTACCGCTACTGCTAGTGCTTCTGCCACAGCTTCTCCTACTGCTACTGCTGCTGCTGCTGCTGCTGCTGCCACTGCTGCCACTACTGCCACTGCTCTACTGATACTGACACTGATACTACCTTTCCTACTTGCTACCACTCCCTTGGAGAACGAACTACTAGAAGAAGGTATGAGCAGCCAGTCCCGCCAGGCTCAAGAGGCTCGCGCGGTGGCGACAGAGGTGGAGCAGGCAAACAATGAGCTCGCGGACGTGAAGCAGGTGGGGTCAATGAGGGATTGGTGGTGCGTGAAAGCCTCCACGGGTTTGATGTTCGTGTCAGTTTTTTGGCAGGGCATGCGTTTGGGTTTTGGATGGTTTTTGGGGATCGGCGGGCAGAGCCCAACCTGCAGAAATAGGTTTTTGGGGGGTTCTTTTAAAGGGTTCCTCAAAGGGTTCTATAAGGGATCTACTATGAGGCTATAAGGGCTTAGGGTATATATATATATATATATATTCATATATATATATATATCTATATATATCTATATATATATATATATTCATATATACATATATATGTAGTGAAGCCATCTCGCAGTCCCAGGAGATCTCGAAGCTCGACGCTCAGATCCAGGCGCAGCAATCCAAGGAGCGGCTCCGATGGTTTCGGTATCAGGGGTTTAGGGTTTAGGGTTTTAGGGTTTAGGGTTTAGGGTTTTAGGGTTTAGGGTTTTAGGGTTTAGGGTTTAGGGTTTAGGGTTTACGACTCATTGCAGATTTTGTTGTTTTTTGCCAGTATCTTTGACTCCTTTGAATGCTGCATTTTTTGGGATAGTAGTGTTCTGCCCTAGCAGCGAGAGGTTACAACAGTCTTCAACATAATTTAGGACTGAAGCAGATTCAGGCCGGGTCTGGGTCGGCTTTGGGGCCAAGTGTCCTGCGACATGTATCTGGTCGCGAAAGGACTCGAGAGCATAAGAACAAGAAACCAACCGCTGCAAAGGGACTGGAGAGCCCTGGAGCATTTACCGGAGCATTTAGGATAGAGGAACAGGCCGCTCAAAAGGGACTGCATCATAAAAAAAGAGGCAATCCCATCGAAAGGGAATAGAGCAAAAAGAAACAAGAGTCGGAGTACGTGCGAAACGGATTGGCGCAAGTAAGCAAGAGCGGCAAAAAATCAAAAGCGATGCAGCATTTAAGCAACAGAGCCGCGCCATTCGAAAGGGACCGGAGCACAAAGACATAAAAATAGATGAGAAAGATGTGCAAGCTACTCGAAAGAAACTAGAGAATTTGAGAAAGAGGCGCAACGCTGTTAGAAAGGGACGAGTGACGAGAGCATGCTAGGAAGAGGCTCAAACTGCAAGAAAAGGGGGGTGTGGGGAGTAGCGGGAACCTGTTTGGGAGTAACGTAAACCGATCTAACACGCTAACCGAGACGACCAGCGTGACAGGAACTACCACCGGAAACCGGGCAGAAGGCTTCGCGCTCGCAAAGGAGGGGACCAAAAAACGGTACCCAGGGGCAAACAAAGGAGGACGTCCAAAGATGCTTTCTACATCCCTCTAGACACCATAAGGACTCTATAGTAAAGCGTGCAGCGTGCTATCGCCTGTGTAACCCGCCAAGCCCAAACTACGAAACGCTGCACCGTAAACCCTAAGCCCTAAAACGCAGAAGCTGTTACAAGGGGCTGTCCCCACCCTGGCGGCACATGCGACTTGATCCGAACGGTTTCGCCTGCAATACCACCTGATCGCCGCACCAATCAACCGTGAACCTTTGTCGATACCTGTGTTTCTGGGCAGGAAGAGAAGATGAAGAACGAGCTGCAACAGGAGCAGGTGCGATACCAGCAGGACGGACTAGAATCAACCGCGGGGCCTTACATGCTTCCAGGGAGATTTACAGTACCCCGCTAAGGCCTAATTATGTTGCATCAAAGTGAGATGTTGCAGGAACAGGATGTGCAAGATGAAATGGCAGGGATGACGTGTGGCAACAAACTGTGCCGCAATCATGTAGCCGTCTGTTGTGTGTTTTTGATGTTCCCCTGCCTATGTGGATCCGTGCGTCAGGGAGGTTTTAACGTTGACAGAGGTTCAGAATTATTGTAGGGCCTGGCGGCACGGGCCGGCATGGCCGTCGCTGCTCCGATTCTCGCCCCGAAGATGCAGCCAACAGTTTGGCAAGCCTTATTGTGCTCCCCCTGCCCGTCAACCCTGCGCGCGCGCGCGCGCGCGCGCTCGCGCGCGCTCGCGCGCGCGCGCCGTACGCGAGCATCAG